TTTTCTGGGTTGGAGCTGTGCCATAGATGCCAGCTGTGTCTGTTTATGGGCAAGTATTAGATTGTTTTGTTTGAAAACAAAAGGGGCCTGGAGCATCTCTCTTATGAGGAAAGGCTGAGGGACTTGGGTCTTTTTAGTCTGGAAAAGAGAAGACTGAGGGGGGATTTGATCAATGCCTATAAATACTTCGAGGGTGGGTGTCAAAGGCTAGTCTTTTTTCAGTGGTGCCCAGGGACAGGACAAGAGGTAACAGGCACAAACCTGAACATAAGAAGCTCCACCTAAACATGAGGAGGAACTTCTTCACTTTGAGGGTGGCAGAGCCCTGGAAGAGGCTGCCCAGGGAGGTGGTGGAGTCTCCTTCTCTGGAGACATTCAAACCCCACCTGGACACGTTCCTGTGGGACCTGCTCTGGGTGGACCTGCTTTGGCAGGGGGTTGGACTAGATGATCTCCAGAGGTCCCTTCCAACACCATATGATTCTGTGAAAACCTTCTTGGTATAACATTTATTTTCTGTTAGGAGACTGTATCTACCTGTTGGAGCTTTCTATTTATTGTAAGGCTGCTCCTGATCTCCTCTAGCCCTTCGTGTCAGGTGAGTGCCCTTGTTGCAGTGCCCTTTCCACTTCTATTGCTTTAGATATCTTTGATTTATTTTGTTTAGTGTGATAACCTCAGTCAATACAGAACAGTTATTATTTTTTTTCTTTTAATGAGTAATTTTCCACTGAACTGTGTCCCTTGGAAGGTTTTTTTGTTGTGTGCCTTGAGAGTGCAGGTTGGTTGTGCTGTGTTGGCACCAAGACACCGGGTTGGAGCCGGATCCTGCTGTGCTGGTGGCTCCACGGGCACTGGGTGACCAGATGGTCCCTGCCCCACGGATGGCAGTCCTGCTGTAGGTGTCACCATCACAGCAACAAGACAGCGGCTTGCACTTAAGGTGGCTGACAAATATTTGAATAAATATCGCTTTAATTTGAATATGCTCTTCATTTGAGTCAGAAGCTGGTAACAAACTGTGTGTATTAATTCCCGAGTGTGGTTTAGGGGTTTAAAATACAGATTCTCAGTTTATGCTTTTGGGTGATTCTTGGAGAGACTGAGTTCCCTGGTGGTTCCTCATCACAATGTTGTTCACCATCACAGCAACAAGACAGCGGCTTGCACTTAAGGTGGCTGACAAATATTTGAATAAATATCGCTTTAATTTGAATATGCTCTTCATTTGAGTCAGAAGCTGGTAACAAACTGTGTGTATTAATTCCCGAGTGTGGTTTAGGGGTTTAAAATACAGATTCTCAGTTTATGCTTTTGGGTGATTCTTGGAGAGACTGAGTTCCCTGGTGGTTCCTCATCACAATGTTGTAGAAGAAATTTCAGATCCTGAGAACTGATGACCTGATTGGAGTTTTAAAATCCCTAAATATTTTTTTTAAAGTGATATCTGCATCTGCCGGGAGGAGCAGGGAGGCAGAAACAAGCCCCTGGGACCAGGAGCAGACCACTGTCACTGTGAGGGTACATTTTATATCTACATGCTAATATTTTCTAGAAGATTAGGTGGATATGTGAGGAAGGAAGTGCCCATGACCTGCTGCCGGAGGAAGCTTAGCCTGGCCAGGTGAGGACCATGAGCTGTCTGGGCAAAGGCAGCTCCACCTGCAGGGAGAGCCTAATTTTGGGGGAATCCCTGAGTGCCCCAAGGCGATGAGGGGGTGATCAGTGGTGGTTCTTGGACACAACAGGGTTTCTAAAGGAGGGGTTGACATGTCTGTGTTGTAACATCAGGAGGAGGAGAAGGAGGAACTCTGTTCTGGTGTGCACCTAGTTGCATGTGGAGGAGAGGTGCTGCTTCCCATCTCTAATTCACCACTGCAGCTGAGGTCTATAGCACAGCAGAGAGGGACTCCTTCCCTGTTGCTGGCACTTGCTCTGTCCCCATTTCTGTTTCACAGTGTTCCTTCTGTTGGGGAAGTTTAAAATAAAACACTGCTGGAGCCAGAGTGAGGATTGCAGCTTTCCCTGTCTGTGGCGCTCAGGATGCGGCAGTGGTACCACGGGCAAAACCATACGTTGGATGTGATGAAAAGATGTGTTGGCTAAACTCACCTGCCCTGATAAAGCTCAAGTGCAGTTTTTGGCCACTTGTCACAATAAAGCCCTGAGACAGGAGGAAGCTTTTGTGTGGGTCTCTGGAAGCAGACCCTCTGTTCTTGGGGTGTTCCTGTAGCTGGAGTCGCTGCTCTGAGCAGGAGTTGCAGGAGCTCCATCACGCCGTGCCCAGGGGAACTTCCCAGTGCTCTGAGCCACCTCCAGTCCCCAGGTCCTCGTCTCAGTGACATTCTCTGCTGTAATTTCCTGACTCACTGTCAGCTCACGGAAATCAGCTTGCCAGCCCTGCTCCCCCCAGGGTCAGGAACGGGCTCTGTTAGTCACCCGGCAGCTGGAGCAGCACAGGGAGCTGACCCCATGGCTGTGACATCCAGAGAGATGCTTTTGGTACGACTTTTTGCTTAATCCATATTCGTAAAAGGATTTCCTTTTATTGAGCCGTCCGCTCTGCATAACTGACCTTGATTATGTCTTGCAAAGGAGTTTAATTCCCCAAATGATGCCATTAAAGGTCTCTCCTGCATGCAAGGTTTGCTTGCAAACCAAGTCTTGACCTTCTGTTTTCTTCCTCTTCCCTGTGCCTTCAGAGGGAACATCTTGATAAGCAGAGCCTCTCTTACGCCCACGTCTCTGCACCATGAACCCTTTCCCTGGCATTTTCTGAAACCAAAGAGTGAAAAGCAAGATGTTATAGAGGCACTAGAAGATGAGATCTGGGCAGGCTGGCAGCTTTGTCTTTAGAAGGCAAAATGGTTAGGAAGGGAACATTTCAGGACCAAATATTCAGCTGGATTTTTGCAGATTTCACAGATTTTGTGGGGGTGACAGCTGGGGATGGAAGTCACTGCCACTGGCTGTACGAGGCTGGGCACCTCTGGAGCAGTACAGCTGGGGTCTGCCTGGGAAGGTGATTGTACCAGGGCTCTGGGGTGATGGGGGGACAGACGGAGGGATGGCAGACCCTGTGGTGGTCTGGCATGAGCTGGCAAGGCTGTGGTGGGTACGGTGTTGAGGAAGCAATTTGGATGACAGAGCTTAGGGCGGTTTATGGGGCCGTCAATCAGGGGCTGCCTCCTTCATTAATAACACCTACTTCTCTGGCACTTTCTGAGCCAGGCTCAAAACCCCCTGAGCAGTATCTCCACCTCTCACACATGCACCTCCTGTGTCCTAACGAGGTGTGGGGGCAAATGGAGATGTTGCTTGAGAGCCTGGGTAGCTCTCAGAGCTGCTGTGATTTCCCCTGGCAGTGCTTTGGCCCTGGTCACAGGACCGTATTCCTCCACATCATCCAGCTTTATGGACGTTTCATGTGCAATCCCACCCCGAAAATCAGAGCACCCCCAGCAGCATTCCCCCAGTCTGTGGGCACTGGGAGAAATAATTTCTGTTGGGAGCACGAGGTTGGTTGAGGTGCCCAGAACCATTACACAGCAGCCTGTGTTTTGATGTTCTCATCAGTGCCCTCCTTGTAGAGAATATCTGAGTTCAGCACATCAGCAAGGGAGCTTCCAGGAGCTATAGAAGGAGGACAACGTGCTTCCAACAGGGGATACTCTACTGGCAATGTGCATCAGAAGCTGATTGTCAGAAATAGGAAATCAAGGCACTTTAAAAAAAATCCTCTTTGATAGTGACTCAACTTTGTAACCTGCAGCTGCTGTGTATGGTTGGAACAAAGCTTGGTCCAGTCCAGTTTTCTAGCTCTAAAATACCAAGGAAACACCAGAGGCTGTGTGGGAAGCGTGGGCTGGGGAGCTGTGACCCGGCTCGGGTAGGGCTGTGGGGTCTGCTGGTGCCATGGGAAGGGTGAGCCCTGCAGGATAATCCTCTTCTGTTGGAGCTGCTAAAACTGAGCCACGAGGAGCCAGTCCCACAGCAGTGTGTTGTACCTGCTGGCTCCGAGGGGATGTGTTACAGAGACCTTTAATGCTCCATGAGTTCATTAGCACCTGCAGGGTGGCCTTGCTGTATCCCCAACAAAGGTCTGAGGGGTCCGTATTCTACAAAGAGGATGCTCTCAGTGGGAGGGGAAGAGCTGGGCAGTGTCACTGCTGGGGGGGACAGGTACTAGAGGAAGAGCAGCAGTGCTAGGAGTACTTGGATTTCTTGCTCCGATAGTTTTTTGACTCCTCAGGCTCCTCTGAGCTACTTCCAGGCAGTCCTGGGGGCTTCTCTGAGTCTGTCCTGTGCAGCTCACTTACCTGCAGGTCTCCCCTCCCATCTTGTGTCTGCAAAACAATTATGCTTGTCATTTATGTGGTTTCCTATTTGTTTTCCTCCCGTCACTGCAGCCCTGATGTGCAACCTACACGACAGCTTCCTTTGGATTAATTGCACTGAAATGAGTGCCAGTAATGTGCCATGAGCAGTACAGACTCAGGCAGTCGGAGGGCAGCACTGATTGCATTGCTATGCAAATAGCATTTCTGGTCACATTTGGTGCCAGGTGATCATTAACTTGGCAATAATGGATAGTTACAGTCATCTGGGACAGCTATGTCACATGGAATTTGTCAAATCCCCATAAAATGAAAGAATATGACAATACTCTATTATTAAGATGCCTTTTATCTAAATGATGCTTGATTCCTCCAGTTAATTCTCTGCTTGCAGTTTTCCTACTTTGAAGTTTGTCAAAACCAAAACATCCTTTTTTTTTATTACCTGGCTTTTTGAAATAGCTGGTGTTGCTTGGCAAGCAAAGGTGCAGAGATGCTCCATGAGACCTCGTGTGCCATTTGGGGCGATTAGAGAACTCAGACAGCAGAGGAGGGTTCCTTACAGATGTGGAGCAAGCAGAGCATCTGGTGCTCGGACCACTGCAGGTCTCCTCGTTCCGGTTTATGGCTGAAATTCAACATTTTCCCTCTTCTGTTCAACAGGTGAAGCAGATCATGGAGGAGGCGGTGACGAGGAAGTTTGTGCATGAGGACAGCAGCCACATCATCTCCTTCTGTGGTGAGTCTCTGGATGTTGGTGTGAACTGGGGGGCTGGAGCCCCCAGTTTTCCTGCCTGGCAGTGGGGCTGTGGGACACGTGGTTCCTGGGAACACACTCCAGCTCCAGGGCCTTGTGCTGGAGCTCGGAGGGTGATTAGTGCCAGAGGATGAGTTGTTCTGGCAGCGCTCTGCGTCCCTGGGGCCTTTGCTCTGTGCTTAAAATATATTGAGATGTGTCAAAAGAGAGAAGGATGTTGGCAATGTGTGCGGTCACTTAAGAAATACTAGAAATAATATTTTTTTTTTCCAATTCCCTTGAGAATTGATTCAACAGAAAGTCTGCTCAGTCCAAAGACTTCTTTGCTGTTATGGAATAGGAATTTCTGGAAAGGAATCTTCAGTCTGCATGAGTGCAGGAGCAGAGAGGCTGGAGGCTGCTAAAGAATTTTAAGTGGAGTTTGTGGAAGATCTGCTCTGATATTGTGCAGGGTTTGGGCTTGTTTTCTGGCAGCTGTGCTCTTCACTGAACCTGCTTTTTTCACCTGTTTTTTTTTCCTGCTGGTGTGACAGTTTTGTAAACGTGGAAGTGTTTCAGAATGCATTCATCAAAATCTCAGCAAGGTGTTTTTTTAAAAACCTCCTTGAAGAGCTGTTGGGTTTCTGTCTGCGATACGTGCCGGGGGCACTCTGGGCAAGGACTGTGGGGCAGGAGAGGAGGAGTATTTGTATCCCAAAGGGTAGTGAGGAGCAGGAGAGAGCAGCCTTGTTCCTGGTGGCACGTGTCATGAGTTTGAGGCTGGGGCTCAGCACCCTGCCTGGTGCAGAGCTCGGCGCATCCCCGGGAGGAGCGTGTGGTTTTTTCCTGCTGGTGTGACAGTTTTGTAAATGTGGAAGCGTTTCAGAATGTGTTCATCAAAATCTCAGGTTAAGAAGCAGCACCTTGAAGAGCTGTTGGGTTTCTGTCTGCGATACGTGCCGGGGGCACTCTGGGCAAGGACTGTGGGGCAGGAGAGGAGGAGTATTTGTATCCCAAAGGGTAGTGAGGAGCAGGAGAGAGCAGCCTTGTTCCTGGTGGCACGTGTCATGAGTTTGAGGCTGGGGCTCAGCACCCTGCCTGGTGCAGAGCTCGGCGCATCCCCGGGAGGAGCGTGTGGAGCAGCAATGTTTGTGGCAGCCCAAACTGTGGCTGCCATGGGGTAAAGCATGGTGGGGCTGGTGAGCCCAGGCTCCTGGGGGCTGGAGAAGGCTCCTGGGGGCTGGAGAAGGCTGTATCCCTTTCTGCAGGGCACGGAGCTGCTGACAAACCTTCCCTAAGGTTAAGAAGCAGTGTTAAGGGAGGGGGGCTGGTTGTCCCCTGCAAACAATACTGCTGAAAGGGTCTTAAGAGAGATTGTTACCAGCTGCCAGGAGAGCTACGTGCCAGTTTTACCTGTGGCTTGCTGTTTGCTGCCACCTCTCCTCCCCAGGTGACAGCCAGCCAGCCCTGTGGTCCCTCCTGGAAGCCCACCATGGCTGCAAGGGGAGTCATTGCTCCTGTGAGCTGAGGAGCCTGGGCGAGTGCGGGGTGTCTGCTTGGCATTGGGGGTTTGAGATGGAGATCTGGACCTCACGGGGTCCTTGGACAAGCAAGTTTAAAGAGCAAAGGAAGAAACTCCACCAAGTGGCTCAGCCCTGAAGTGCCAGGGAACCTCTCTGCTCTGACACCACGAGCCCTGGCTTCCAGGTAAGGGGGTGGGCAACCTGTATGGTGCTGCCTGTGGTTCTCAGCAGGGATTTTTGCTCAGTTACAGCCGTCTGTGCTTCCATGGACCCAGAGCGGGGCCATGTGGCTGCTGCTGAGCGAACGCTGCGGAGGGGAAGCAGCCCTCCTCCGTTTGCAAATAGCTGAAGGGCAGCTTGCTAATTTAGAGGCTGGGAAGAAAATGACAGAAGTGATGACAAGCAGCTTTTGAAGAAGTTGCTCCGAGGAGGCTCGTGCGGCACTGTCGCCACTGAGTAAGGTTGTAGCATCCACAGGCACAAAAAAAGAGAAGGGAGCTGTGAGGTCCTTTTTTCTTTTCCTTTTTGGAGAGCAAATGGGCTGCCTTCTCCCTTTACTCCTGGGCCCTTGTGTGAAATAGATGCAGATGCTTGTTTCAGGCCTGTGTGCCTTTGTATGCTCTCAACCGAGTGGCATCGAAAGAGCAGAACAGACTTCAAGGTGTGACTCATTCTCTGCTTTTCTGTGCAGCACGAGGCTTCGCAGCCTGGAATTATTTATAGCCTCCTACCACACGGAGCTGAGGCATCCAGGCACGAAGGGCTCGTTGGTTCCTTCTGGCTTCTTAATGATGTTGCTGCACTTTCACTGGCTTGTGGTGTCTACACCTTCTGCTGTTGCTCTCTCAGTGGAATGGTGTGTGTACCTTCCTTGGTGTTGTGGCTCTCCATGAGCTGGGCGAGCTTATAAATAACCTCTTTTCCCTGACAAGCAGAGCGTGCTGCGAGGCTGGCTCTGGGTAGGCAGAGCTGCCCTTTTCTCTGGGGAGAGCTGCCTTCCTCAGTGAGCCCCTCCTCATCCTCTGTGCAGCCAACGTACCGCAAACCCCTTCTGATGAGACCAGTGGTCTGGCAGGAAAGGGCAAGCGCCCTGTTTTGCCTGCAAGGGAAGGGTTTGAAGCAGACAAACAGGAGTTGGCATCTGTCACGTTCGTGCTGCCCTGGGAGGCTGATGGAGAGCCAGCAGCAGGGCTGGGGGTCTGCCTGAGCCGAGGGGTTTGCTGTCCACATCAGTGCTAAGGCTGCCTTTGTGCTCAACCCCTGAGTGGTTTGGATCCTGCCAGGCCACCCTCCAGATCCTCAGTCTTTTGCCAAGAATCAAAACTCCCTCCTTTCCTGGGTGCAGCTGCCCAGATCCCCTGCACTGTGTGTCTCTGCCATAGGTTATATCCTTAAGAATAGGGGAGAATCTCTTCACAGTGTCTGTTTGCAGTGATAATAGTAAGTTATAAACTTTAAGAATAGGGGAGAATCTCTTCACAGTGTCTGTTTGCAGTGATGACAGGAAGTAAGTTATGAACGTCCCCTGCACTGTGTGTCTCTGCCATAGGTTATATCCTTAAGAATAGGGGAGAATCTCTTCACAGTGTCTGTTTGCAGTGATAATAGTAAGTTATAAACTGGGCTCAAAAATCATAAGGTTAAAAAAGAACCTACCATTATACCTGCATTTGGCATGGACAGGGTGCTCTTAGTTCATGCCCTCAAACCTCTGAGCCCTTGGGAGAGCACAGGGAGAGATTTCCCTATGGAGACTCCACACTTGTATGTAGTTTTGCCAGCAGGAGTAGTGTTTTGGAGGGGTTTGGGCTATGGCATTGAGGACATCTTGCTGGAGCATGCTGGAAGGCTTTTCTCCAGTGTGGGTTTTCTCCCTCCTCTGCTCCCCAGCTGGCAGGGAGGTGTCATGGACTGGCCGTACAAATGAACAAATGACTGAAGGGATGCGGGGTGATTTCAGTGTGTGTGAGGAAAGCTGGGTGGTCTTGCATTTGGTCCCAAAGCCATGAAGCAGTGTGGTCTTACTTTGTAGCTGCAGATCGGGACAGGTAGGATGCATTTGGCATGGACAGGGTGCTCTTAGTTCATGCCCTCAAACCTCTGAGCCCTTGGGAGAGCACAGGGAGAGATTTCCCTATGGAGACTCCACACTTGTATGTAGTTTTGCCAGCAGGAGTAGTGTTTTGGAGGGGTTTGGGCTATGGCATTGAGGACATCTTGCTGGAGCATGCTGGAAGGCTTTTCTCCAGTGTGGGTTTTCTCCCTCCTCTGCTCCCCGGCTGGCAGGGAGGTGTCATGGACTGGCCGTACAAATGAACAAATGACTGAAGGGATGCGGGGTGATTTCAGTGTGTGTGAGGAAAGCTGGGTGGTCTTGCATTTGGTCCCAAAGCCATGAAGCAGTGTGGTCTTACTTTGCAGCTGCAGATCGGGACAGGTAGGAAGACCCATCCGTGCTATTTGTAGCATCTCCGGGCTTCAGGTTTGTGCAGGGCTTTGGTTAAAAACTAGAAGACCCATCCGTGCTATTTGTAGCATCTCTGGGTTTCAGGAGGGTTTGTGCAGGGCTTTGGTTAAAAACTGGATGGTACCCATCCAGCGGCTCCGAGTGTTTGGTTTTGGGTGGGTGAGCAGGACTTGGCTGTCCCAAATGCGTTGCTTTTCTGCCTTTTTTTTTTAGTCCAGGACGTGTCTCACAGCCCCTGAGATGCTGCACGCCTGCCCTGCCTGCTCGGCGGTGAACTCGGGCATGGCACTAAGCAGGGCAGAGATAATGAGAGCATCTCTCAGCCCTGGGAGCTGCTGTTGATGGATCTGCATGAACTACCTTTTTTAATGTCTCCGTAGAGTTGTTCAGCTGTAGGAAAAATTGCTTTTCCAAGCGAGAGGCGAATCGGCGGCGGCAGGGAAGGCTCTGCAGCGCCTTCCTGGGGAAAGAGGGGTGCCAGGGTGCCAGAAAGCTTGTTGTCAGACCCAGATTGATAGCCTGCAGGACTGTGGGTCTGTGTAATTTTCCAGTGCTTTGATCAGCCTGTTTAATAAGTCTGTGTTTGACACTAGGCATCCATCCTGAGCCCTCCCAGGGGACTCTGGCAAACAGATTGCCGGTGGAGCCTGTACGTGTGCGTGTCTTTCTGTGGAGTCATCGCTGGCTCCCATCACCAGCAGAGCCAGCTCCCTGGGCTCCTCTGTTGCTGCTTGCCCAGGCAAGGAGCCTGACAGAAGACAAGTGGCCAGAGCTTTCTGGCTACTCGCTGTGGTCTGGTGAGTCCTTGAGGCTGCCTTTCAGCCAGAACCCAGCGCAGGGAGTCACGCAAAGCCTTGCATGGGGACTTTACTGCTGAGCACTAGCTGCAGGGAGTCACCACCGAGCTGGTAGGACCTCCCAAGCCACACTGAGCTGCTGGCGTTGCCTGTGGTTTATCCCCAGGTTCTCTATTGCCTTTAGTTTTTTTGGGGAAAATGCTTGCCCCATTTCCTCTGCTGCTTTAGAAATCTTTGATGTGCCAGTCTCTCACTCCGAAGCTTTCTCCTTCTCACTTGGACCATCCCAGCACATGGGGACCAGGGGGCAAAAATCTCCTCTTCCAGCCTTTCCCATCCCTCAGACTGAGCCGAAGGGAAAACTTCAGGGAGTTGTTTTGTTTCTCTCCAGTCTTCAAGAAAGCTGTGAGAAGAATGTCAGCCTGTTTGTCTGCATAGCAGAGCAATTATCCTACCTGCAGAAGATGCTTGTTTGTTGTCTTGTGTCTGACGAGGATGTTTTCCTGAAGGCCAGGTGGGGGTGTCCTCTGCCTTAAAATACATCCTCTGTGAGGTTTTACCTCCTGTCCTTCCATCTAGCTTAATGATGGTGGCTGGAGTGGTGAGCACACCAGAGAGAAAGGAGAGGGACTGGTGCGTCGAGCTTGCAGAGGGACCCCAAGTCTGGTGTTCTGTTGGCAGTGCCCTCCCCAATGACACTACAAAAGCCTGTCCTCTGTCCCAGGCTTGTCTGGGGCTGCTGGCCCCGTAGCCAAACCAATCACCTGAAATGGTTTCAGACCCCTCTAGCCAGGGGAGCAGAGAAGATGCGTCGCTGTGTGGCCGCACTTAGCTTCAAGCTGTTAAACCACAGATAAACTGTTTACTCCCACAGGCTTAAACTGAGAGACTCTGTACGAGCGGGCTCTTGGCAGCTCCTGATCCGTGCAATTACTGCCACATCACGGGCTGGTGGCTCCTCTGCTGGGAAAATCATCGCTCTGGTACCAGCGACCGTGCTGGTGCGGAGCTGGAAGCAGCAGCTTCGATTTGTTTGCACTCAGGATATCGTGTAGCGGAGCCAGATCCCGGCATTTTCAGAACAAAGGGCTGCGAGCACAGTGGTCCAGGTCCCTTCTCCTGCTCTGTTTTATGAATGAACAAAGCACTCTGAGAAATCCTGATCCAGGCCACCAGCTTGGCACATCAGCGCAGACTGCTCGCTCCTGGGGGCACAGAGACACCACCTCTGTGGTCTGGAAGCTGCACGTTCCCATTTCATCACCGGTGTAGTAAGGTCTCTGTAGGCTGATGGTTGGTCAGATAAGTGAGCCCAAGACAAGTTAGTCTGCCTGACTAGTCCCTGTCAGGAGATTTCAGGAAGACCCTGAATTTACTTTAACAGGTGGAAATTAATTCTCCATAGAAGTACGTACATCATAGAATCATAGAATGGTTTGGGTTGGAAGGGACCTTAAAGATCATCCAGTTCCAACCCCCCTGCCCTGGGCAGGGACACCTCCTACCAGACCAGGTTGCTCTAAGGCCCCTCCAACCTGGCCTTGAACCCCTCCAGGGATGGGGCAGCCACAGCTTCTCTGGGCAACCTGGGCCAGGCTCTCACCACCCTCACAGCAAAGGATTTCTTTCTGGTATCTAATCAAAATCGCAAAGAATTTCTTCCTAACATCTCATCTAACCCCCACCCCCTTTCAGTTTAAAACCATTACCCCTCATCCTGTCGCTCCCCTCCCTGATCAAGAGTCCCTCCCCATCTCTCCTGGACCCCCTTTAGGGACTGGAAGGTTGCTATAAGGTCTCCCTGGAGCCTTCTCTTCAGGCTGAACAACCCCAACTCTCTCAGCCTGTGCTCACAGGAGATGTTCCTTTAGGGACTGGAAGGCTGCTATAAGGTCTCCCCGGAGCCTTCTCCTCTCCAGGCTGAACAACCCTGACTCTCTCAGCCTGTGCTCACAGAAGACGTTCTCCAGCTCTCTGACCATCTTTGTGGCCTCTGCTGGACTCGTTTGCACACCTGCAGTTCATGCCCTTCTGTTCAGATTAGCCAAACTTCTTATAGATGCCACCAAAAACTGAAATTGTAGCTATGCCCTTCTGTTCAGATTAGCCAAACTTCTAATAGGTGCCACCAAAAACTGAAATTGTAGCTCTGTATGGTCAGCAGAACTGATGGCTCTGTGGGCAGAAAAGCCGTACCGCTCTCTGCTGCTCTGGGCCAGGAGACATCTGGGTTCCCCAGTCTCCTGTCTGCTGGGGCAGGAACAGGACGTGGCACTGGTTTCCTCTTGGGAAGCCTCTCTGCTGTGGAGTAAGGGAATGGATGCAGGGGGATGTTGTGGTGTGGGCTGTGAGTTCTCCTGCCACTTCAGTGATGACTTTGCTCTGTTGCAGCTGCGGTGGAAGCCTGTGTCCTGTACGGCTTGAAGCGGAGGGCGGCGGGATTCCTGCGCAGCAACAAGATAGCAGCTCTGTTTATGAAGGTGGGCAAGAGCTTTCCTCTGGCAGAGGAGCTTTGCAAGAAGGTGCAGGACCTGGAGCAGCTCATTGAGAATGCGTAAGGCACTGGCATCGCTGTTACCCCACCTGTAATAGGTGGCAATGTCCAGGAGGAATTGCTCTTTCCGTGGAGCAGAGTCCCGTCTTGGGCTTTTGATACCTCTGAATTGGCTGTTTTTCTTGGAGACTGTAAGTTCCAGTTGTGGTTTAAGCTAGGATGGACAAGTTCTTACATCCTCCACCCCTTTTCTTGTGCTTAAGAACAGTTAAGCATGTTTGCTCCTGAGCTGTCATGGTTTATGGACCAGTGCACTAAGCCAACTGGAACCAAATGTGGTCTGCCTCGATGTGCAGGGCTTGAACCTGCTGTAATTCAGCTGGTGTTTGAGAGTGGCTTACTCATCCTTGGACAGGAACCAGGGAGATGGATGGTGCCACTACCTGGGGGCAGGGATTTTTATGCTGCTCTTCGCTTGCAAACTGCTGTCCTCAGGCACCAGGGGAAGAGGCGTGTGGGTTGGAGGACTCTGCTGAGCCAGGGCCTTATTCTAGGGTACATTTACAGTAGGAAACCTATTCATTGAAGTCAGTTTTTGAGGACATATGTGGGCCCTCTGGAGTAGGGGTGGAATAGATGAAGGGAGCAGTCTCCAGAGCCTTGTCCCCACACAGTTCCCTGGGCATCCCTCAGCCAGCACTGCTGAAACCCTGACTCCCTGCCCCACGAGGTGCTGTGAGTGCCCTGTGCTCCTGCAGTGCTCAGGGATAAGATGTTGTTGTCTTCTGCCTTGTACCTCTAAAGACGAAATCAAGCCCAGGGTGTCCCGGAGAACGTGCGCAAGATGCCAAAGCTGCCCAACCTGTCTCCTCAAGCCATCAAGCACCTCTGGATCCGCACAGCCCTCTTTGAGAAGGTCTTGGATAAAATCGTGCATTACTTGGTAGAAAACAGCAGGTGAGTGCTGGCACAGGCCAACCATCTGCCCCTCCAAACTCTCTACCAGCGTCTGCCCTGGAGGTGTTGCTGGCTGAGCCGTGTCCAAGTGCGCCAGAGAAGTCCCTGGATGGGACAGGCCAGTCCCTGCTGCTGGTGGCCACCATACACTCCCTAAAATAAAGACAGGCCACCCTTGCTCTGCTGACAGCTGGGTTGTTAGGACTACATCGTCCTTGTTGTCTGAAAATTCCTTGCTGTGGTGTCCTCTCTTGGAGAGGTGTCATCTCCAGTCCTTGGGATGTTTTGTTAGGAGATGGTGATGCTTCCAATGTGCTGCGGGAGGGTGTCTGTTCCCCAGGAATTTCACAATGAGCAGAAACAGCCTGTTAAGGGCTTCTTGCCCTCTCACCATCAAGGAGTGATACAGAAAGAGAAGGGCATTACAGTGATTTAAAATTACTGTCTCTGTCATTGTGCAGTCCCAGGGGGCTGAAATGCTACAGCATTCTGCTCTCTTTTATTTCTTCTAGTAAGTACTATGAGAAAGAAGCTCTCCTGATGGATCCTGTGGATGGGCCAATTCTTGCATCTTTACTGGGTAACGCTCTCCTCTTGCCCTACTTCGATAGCTTGCTTTTCAAACTTGTTCCCAGTTTCACATCCCTGGGATGTGAAATGCAATTGTTTTCCTAGTAAGAACTTCAGAAAGCTTAGTAGCCCTAGACAGGTAGCCCTGTGGAGTGGTTGTAAAGGCCACATGATGCCCAACTGCTGAGCAGTGAATAGAGACAGAGAGTCTTAAGGCTGAGCTTGGGGTTTCCTTTTCTTGCCAGGCTTCAGTAACACTGGGCATAAACCAGGGCTGGGGCCAGGGATTCCTTTTCTTGCCAGGCTTCAGTAACACTGATGGGCATAAACTAGGGCTGGGACCAGGGGCTGGGAAGCAGGAGGGAGCTGCAGTGCAGGGCTTGGTGTGTTCAGTGGGTTATTGCTCCTCTGAATTCTTCACTGCTGTTACCATAGAATCTTAGAGTGGTTTGGGTTGGAAAGGACCTTAAAGACCACCTAGTTTCAATCCCCCTGCCAACGCAGCAGTGTGTGCTAAGCCTGGTGCCTTGTTGCCTGCTGTCCCACCAGCCCTGCTCTGAGACGCTGGGCTCCGGGGATGTGAGAAGTGACCAGAGAGCTCAGAACAACACCGATGGCTTCTTGATGTTTGCCATTTTCTTCTCTGTGCAGTGGGGCCCTGTGCGCTGGAGTACACGAAGATGAAGACGGCCGACCACTTCTGGACAGACCCCTCAGCTGACGAGCTGGTTCAGAGGCACCGGATCCACAGCTCACACTGTCGCCAGGACTCACCCACCAAGCGCCCGGCGCTCTGCGTGAGTCGGGGACAGCTGGGAGGGACAGTCCCCAGTGATGGGATGAACAGGCATCACCAGGGCTTGGGGCTCCATCTGCTTCAACAGGGGTGTGAAACCTTCAGAGGAGAGAAGGTAGAAAAGTGTGTGGTTACTTGAAGTCTTCAAGCCAGAAGTGCCGGGAAGGCGGGCCATGGAGACTGCAGGCGTGCTGGCCCAAGGCAGTGCTGCATCTTGGGGTTCTCCACCCTTTGGGAACAGCATGTTTGATCGAAAAGCAAAGGCAGCTGAAGTCTGCTCTGTTTATTGCAAACAAAGCACACTCCTGGGGATTCTCTAAGTACAGAATCAAGCTTGGCCAGAGCCAGGAATCCTCTTAGAGGACGCAAAGGGAAAGATTTCTAGTAGGGACTTTCTTAAGTGTAAAAGCGAGGAGGGAAAGAGCTTTCAGGAGAAGGTTTCTGAAAGCAAGAGGTGTCTGTGCTGAGCTCACGTTTGTAGGTGGATCTCTTCCAGATTCAGAAGAGGCATTCGAGTGGCAGTATGGATGACCGGCCGTCACTGTCTGCCAGGGACTACGTGGAGTCACTGCACCAGAATTCCCGAGCCACGCTCCTCTACGGCAAGAACAACGTCCTGGTGCAGCCAGTAAGTACCTGCTGGGGCATCTGGGTTTTACAACACTGCTCTGCTCCCCGCCAGGAGATTCTGTCCCAAGTTGCTCTTTGGAGAAAAGCACAGGCTTATTTCTAATCTGGGAGGGCAGTGACTGGGCTGTGTTTGCTGAGGTCCTGGTAATGGATCCTCCCAACTGAATGGAAGAGCTCTTCTGTCTGAGTAGAAACAGGCTCCTCTCTTGGCCACAAAACGCCTCCTCCTGTCCCTTCCTGCTTATTGTAGTCGAATAAATGAAATGCAAACTGCTTAAGTGGAGCTGTTAAGTTTGCCTCAGCTGGGCAGCTGCTCCCGGCTCTTTTCCAAGCTGGTGAGGTGTCCTGTTGTCTCTGCTGGGAGGTTTTGCAGGGCCACCATGGGTTTGTCACTGTTGGTGAGTGGATGGGCTCAGGGGCAGAAGGCAGGGCTGTGTTATGGTCCAGGGCTGTGCTCCACGGCACGTCTCAGCTTTAGGCTACCTGAGGTGGTGCTTCTGGTTCTTCCAGCCTGCTCTCACCACTTTCTCTCCCTGTCTTTCTCTTCTCAAGCGAGATGACATGGAGGCAATCCCGGGATATCTGTCCCTTCACCAAACTGCCGACATCATGGCGCTGAAGTGGACTCCCAACCAGCTGATGAACGGCTCTGTGGGGGACCTGGACTATGAGAAGAGGTGACTGTCACTGAGTGCACCCTGACGTGGGGCAGGGGGAAGGCAAATGTTCCCCAGGTTCAGAGTTTGGATCTGGTGTCCAAGGCCATCGATGAGTTTTCCCACTGAGTGCAGAGCAAATCAATCATCTTCGAGTCTGTAAGAGGAGAAGGGAAGGGGAGGAGGCCTGAGGTGGTGGGAGAGGTGGCTACAGGAGGTGGTGTGAGGTGCTGTAGTGCTGCTGGGAAGCGTTCAGCGAGGGAACTGGTGGGTGCTTGTTCTGAGAGACACCAAGTGGTTTCATTTATTGCCCTTGGGGAATTTCCCAGGAGAATGCCCTCTCTACACACTAAGCAGTGCTTTCAGATTTATTGTGGTTATTTTCATCTGGGGAGCTGAGGAGCTCATAAATAGGAGAAGAGTAGGAAGAGTATCTGCAGAGAGGGGTTTCCAGATAATCATACCTTGGTGACAGTCTGTGCCATTTTGTAGTGTTGTTTGGAGCCTGCTCCTGATCCCACTGGGTTTCCAGATAATCATACCTTGGTGACAGAGTCTGTGCCGTTTTGTAGCATTGTTTGGAGCCTGCTCCTGATCCCATGTAGTGCTGCTGGGAAGTGTTCAGCGAGGGAACTGGTGGGTGCTTGTTCTGAGAGACACCAAGTGGTTTCATTTATTGCCCTTGGGGAATTTCCCAGGAGAATGCCCTCTCTACACACTAAGCAGTGCTTTCAGATTCATTGTGGTTATTTTCATCTGGGGAGCTGAGGAGCTCATAAATAGGAGAAGAGTAGGAAGAGTATCTGCAGAGAGGGGTTTCCAGATAATCATACCTTGGTGACAGTCTGTGCCATTTTGTAGTGTTGTTTGGAGCCTGCTCCTGATCCCACTTGCAGGTATTCAAAGTTCTTTGGATTTAACCGAGTCCCTGGAGCTTATTCCTCCAAAGTCTGCTTAGTTTGCTGGGCAGGGTGGATCGCCATGTCCTTTGGCCTGAGATTGCCTTATGGGCTCCTGGCATTTCTCTTAAGAGCTGCACTTGTTTTAACAAACAACAGAATTGTGACAGGTCCCAATTTGCCTGAGAAATCGAACAAAGGAAAAAAAAAATCCCTTTCCACCAGCAAACACTCCAGGAAAGCTGGAATGTTGAGGACACTGATTCTTTGACCTGAAGTAAAGGTCATCATCAGCAAAACTTGTTCTCAGTCTTGTTTATTCTCAATTGTAGTTTTGGGGGTTTTGTTTACCTGTGTTTTTTTCATCTCCCCTTCCTTCTTGGCCCCTGGGCCATTCCTTTATGCCTGGTACCCTCCCCCTAAAATGCTGTTTTCATCTCTACACTACTTTTCTGAGTTCTTGACTTGGGCATCAGCCTAAGCTCTAAAACTTCCCAGTGTCAAGACGTGACCAAGGAAGAGAGGAGTCAGATGACAAAGTAAGTATGAATCTACAAGGGATGACTCTTACGCACCCCTTCCCATCTCTAACTGTCTTTATTAAGCACTATTTTTGTAAAGTGACAGATAATGCTGCTCAGAACCTGGAAATTGCTTTCTTGGAAAGAAGTGGGATGTCATTAAAGGCTGACACCCTCACAGAGCTCTCGTTGGGCTCTGCACAGAAATAAAACCTTGTGTGAAGCCATGTGTCTCCTGGTGAGATCCCCTTCCCTGGCTTCCTCCTGGTGTCTCTCTGTCCCTCTGCCCTCCCTGGTGACCAGCAGCTCCAGCATTTCCTAGATCTGTTGTCACCTCGAGGTGCTGGTGCTCAGGAGTGCAGTTCTCCAGCAGAAGCAGCTGGGCCCAAGCCTATTTTTCAGCTTTGAGAAATCCCACAAATTGGAGGGGTTTATTTTCCCCTCCCTTGACAGGAGCTCAGCAAAGCAGCAGCCCAGGCTCAGACTGCACTCACTGCACATTCCCTTTGGGCTCCAGGGCTGCTCCTACCTGGGTTCTCCAGCACCCCAGCAGGGTGAGGAGTCCTTTCTGGGGTGCCCCGAGGAGAGTGCTCAGTTCTGAAGGGCTCCACATCCCTCCCTGCAATTCCCAGGATCAATGGGCAAGTTTTCCATGTCTGGGAATGATGTGAGGGTAGAGGAACAGCCCAGGGCAGGTGGGACTGGACTTGCCTTGGCTGAGCTGGAGTGGCAGGGACAGTAACTGGCTCTGGAGGGATGCTGTCACTTACTTGGGCTGGCTTTGTGGTAGTCACGCTGCTGCTGGGACCTCATCCTTTCTGCAGCTTCCTCTGGAGGCAGGATCTGGGGCTGATATGAGCAGAAGCAGAGCCTCTTGCATCCCTGAAGCTCACGACTTCCCCTCTCCCTCTGTTCCAGCGTGTACTGGGACTACGCCATGACTATTCGCCTGGAGGAGATCGTCTATTTGCACTGTCACCAGCAAGGTAAGGCCAGAGTGGGGGCTGCTGGAGGGTGTTGTCACCCTGACGTTTGCACGATTAGATCTTTGGGGAGTGCCTAAATGGGGAGGTTTGGATTCAGCTCCAGGACAGACACCCAGAGCTCTGGGTGGTCACTATGTAAGCTATGTAAGTGCTTCTAGGAGAACCTTTAAACCAGCTCCTGGCTGTGGGGCTTGGCCAGGCAGTGCTCTCTGCTTTCCCAGGGTGCTGGCTCCCAGGCAAACCTTCTCTAGGGCCCCAGACTTGTGATGGGCTTAGGGAAGAATCCAAACAGGGAAGAAATTCTTTGTTTTGCACACCAGAAAGACACTTCCCCGTACTTCCTTGCCTGTCATCTGGAGTTTTGGCTGGTAGTGTTTCCCTCATTCATGTGTGTGTCTCCTCTCTGCTCTTGCTAATAGTAGACAGCGGTGGGACGGTTGTCTTGGTGAGCCAGGATGGGATTCAGAGGCCCCCACTGCGGTTCCCCAGAGGAGGACACCTGCTGCAGTTCCTGTCCTGCCTGGAGAATGGCCTCCTGCCCCACGGGCAGCTGGATCCACCCCTCTGGTCACAGCGGGGAAAGGTAGGCACCCCAAAACTTGTTCCTGAGCCCACAGCACTGCGGGTTCTGGCTGGAGTGTCTCAGAGCAGAACTGGGGGGGAGGCACTGTCAGTGGCTGCTGCATTCTAGACAAACCCCCTCCTGAAAGCAAGGGAGGTGGGCTTGAAATACTGCAGTTTGGTTTAGCTCATGGCTTTCCCCACCTAAACAGAACCTCCTGGGGAAATGGGAAGGGATGTGGTATGAAGGTGTTGGCCATGAGGCCTGGTTGGTTTGGTTCTCACGGCTGTGCACAAACAGGGTCCAATATTCACTGTGTCTTTGAAAGCTTAATCATAGAATCATCTAGGTTGGAAGGGACCTTCAAGATCATCTAGTCCAACCATCAACCTAACTCGGACAAAAAACCCATCACTAAACCATGTCCCCCAGCACCATGTCAACCCATCTTCTGAACACCTCCAGGGATGGTGCCTCAACCACAACCCCATTCCAAGGCTTGATAACCCTTTCAGTGTAAAAATTTTTCCTAATATCCAACCTGAACCTCCCCGAATCCAAAGGTTGCTCCAGCACGGGGGACCTGCAAACATCTTCCGGGCTGACAAAGGATGTGCCCTTGTTGGAGAGGAATTTGACAAGCCAGGCAGTGGCTGTGGTGGGATGGGTTGTCACGAGTTGGTTTTGTTCACCCAGGGGAAGGTGTTTCCCAAGCTGAGGAAGCGAAGTCCCCAGGGCTCCTCCGAGTCTGCGTCTGACAAGGAAGATGATGAAGCCACAGATTATGTTTTCAGAATAATCTACCCAGGGACACAGTCTGAATTTGGTGAGTACGTGGGCAGAGGGCGTTTGGGGTGGGTTATGATGGGATGTCTGAGCAGCCAGAGACCCACCACTGACAGACACATTGCAATTTGTGCCAGCAAATGGTTCCAGAGAAATGGGCTTTGCCTGTAACAATTCTGCCTTTTATTCGACTTCATGTATGGGCTGGGGTTTTATTTTTTTGTTTTAACCTTTCACTTGCTACTGAATCCTTCATTTCTGCAGCTGCACAACAGGCCATGACCTCCTTCATGGTTGGAAAAAAAATTCTTGCACATGAGGTTGACTTTGGTCACGTTCTTTGGGGATCACTTTTCACCACCACAAGCCCCCAGGGCTGATTCTTCCCTTGCTATCACCAGGTCAACTCAGCAAGAACTGCATTAAATCCAACAACGTTCCTTCAGCCTTGTTTCTGCAGTACAAAGCAGAGGTTACAGCACCCTTCTCTGTGTGCTGCCAGGCTTGACCCATGTGTCTTCACTCCACAGCTCGCAGGGCAAGGGAGAGGATGCTGCTGGATTCACCAAACCAGAAATCTCTCTTAACGTCTGGTGGTGAATGACCTGAACGATGCACTTGGTTGAAGGGACTGTACATTTGTCCTCGCTCTCCTGTGGGATACTAAGAACAAATTTTTGATCTCTGGGAACATCGTAGATGACTTTATAAGGGGCAAAACTAAGAATGCAATAGAAGACTTTTAAAAAAACATGAAATATGATCAAAAACTTCCTATATTTTTGAGGCTAGAAGGGGGCAATTGTATCTCCTGTGACTCCTCCATGACATCAGTTAAGATTATACTTAGCTCTCCCTGCCTTTAGCTGACTAACACAATTCAGTGAGTCAGATAAAAACCTGATTGAGGCTAAAATAGGAGATAGAGATGCTCCTTTCTGTAGCTTTCTTTTGATCTACCCCTTAAAATTCCATGCTGGGGGCCAGATTTGCTGCGAAATGAATTGCTGCAATCTGCTTAGCTGGCATCATCAAAGTCTGTGTGGTTCCTGTGGACCTTCCCAGAGGGGGGTGGAACCGTGTCGGTTCTTTCTTCTCTACAGATCCTCCCTTTCTCCCCTTTTCATTTGTGCCCTTGTCCTCTCTCTGTGTCCCTAGTTACCATTAATGGTAATTTTCATCCATTCCTTCCGTCCGTGATCTCCATCGCTGCTGTGAGAGGGAAGAAGGCGAGGACTCCAGCTGCAAGCAAGATAGTGGTGATCCCTAAATGGTTCATGAGCCTCCCCATCACGTCCCGACCTCCCCTTGCTGCTCTGGGGGCCACTCAGCATCAGTGTAATGCAGCTGTCATTTGTCTCTGGTCCTACTGCTTGCCTGTGTTGTCACTTGACAATTCCTGCAGAGGTGTCCCCTGTCACTGCTGACTGTCACTGACCCATCAACACCTGCTTAATATGAGGGAAATAGAAATATTTCAATATTTATTTTTTTTGCTGGTATCAGTTCTTCAGTATCACAAGCAGGAAGAGTCCAAGGGTGAGTGAGGAAGCCCTCTCCCAGCTGAGTTTAAGCAGGGATTTAGCAAGTGACAACATGAAGAGCTACTTGCTCCTGCTGTCCTTCTCCTCTTCTTCGTCAAAGCCTTTGTTTCCGGTCGTGTGATTTGGATGCTCCCGTCTTCCCCCGAATCTTGGAGGGGATCCTAACGTTTGAGAGATGGGGGCTTTTCCCTTTCAGTGATCCACTCTTCCTGGGACAACGGTTGATTTCATCTGTGTCACGGTCTGTTGCAGCCCCTTCTCTCGAGTCTCTCTGGGTTGAGTGTTTTCTGCCTTGGTTGGCGCTCAGCAGTTTAAGATTATCTTGCTGAAGGCACTGTAGTTAATTAGCAGATGGTTCTTACTCTCATCAATGTTCTTTGTTTCCTTTCCTTTCTCTTGAGCTCACCATTGATGGTGCTGCGATTACCTGGTGTGCATCCTACCTGGTTGCTGGAGGCTCCTTGGGAAGAGTGTGGGATTCTGTGTTGTCTAATCAAAGCTCTCCTCTCTGACCTCCTGTGGCTCACCTGATGCTGGGGCCGTGCCAGACCGAGCTGATGCTCCCCTCTCTGTCTTCTTACAGTGCCCCAGGACCTGATGGACACATCGGGTGCAGGCCTGCCCCCCATGTGGCAGCCCAGCACCCGCAAGTCCTCCTGCTCCTCCTGCTCTCAGAGTGGCTCCTCTGATGGTGGGCCATCCAACGGCTGCAGCCACGAAAGGTATGACAGCTCTGCTGCTGCTGGCTTTGAGAAATACAGGTGAAATAAGACAGGGGTTACAGGCAAAAGCCCAGTGGGGTGGCTGAACCAGAGCTAGGTTATCCAGGGACCATTTGCAGGTGCCAGTGGGACATGTCTATGCTGAAGTGAGGCTTGTTCCACTCATCTGGGACATCTCAGCAGCAAGAAAGCTGATGCTCCCCTCTCTGTCTTCTTACAGTGCCCCAGGACCTGATGGACACATCGGGTGCAGGCCTGCCCCCCATGTGGCAGCCCAGCACCCGCAAGTCCTCCTGCTCCTCCTGCTCTCAGAGTGGCTCCTCTGATGGTGGGCCATCCAACGGCTGCAGCCACGAAAGGTACGACAGCTCTGCTGCTGCTGGCTTTGAGAAATACAGGTGAAATAAAACAGGGGTTACAGGCAAAAGCCCAGCTGGGTGGCTGAACCAGAGCTAGGTTGTCCAGGGACCATTTGCAGATGCCGGTGGGACATGTCCATGCTGAAGTGAGGCTTGTCCCACTCATCTGGGACATCTCAGCTGCTCTGTGGTCCTGTCCTGGCAGCAAGAGTTGCTGCTCCCAAGCTGAGCAGAGCTCTGGTGGTGCACCTCTGAAGGTAAAGCTGGAATGGTATGCTCCCCTCTCTGTCTTCTTACAGTGCCCCAGGACCTGATGGACACATCGGGTGCAGGCCTGCCCCCCATGTGGCAGCCCAGCACCCGCAAGTCCTCCTGCTCCTCCTGCTCTCAGAGTGGCTCCTCTGATGGTGGGCCATCCAACGGCTGCAGCCACGAAAGGTATGACAGCTCTGCTGCTGCTGGCTTTGAGAAATACAGGTGAAATAAGACAGGGGTTACAGGCAAAAGCCCAGTGGGGTGGCTGAACCAGAGCTAGGTTATCCAGGGACCATTTGCAGGTGCCAGTGGGACATGTCTATGCTGAAGTGAGGCTTGTTCCACTCATCTGGGACATCTCAGCAGCAAGAATTGCTGCTCCCAAGCTGAGCAGAGCTCTGGTGGTGCACCTCTGAAGGCAAAGCTGGAATGGTCACATCAAAGCAGGGGCTGAGGGCACACATGGGAGCATTTTGTCTCCTCACATCCAATATTTTTTTGTTGGCAGAGCTCCACTGAAGCTCCTGTGTGACAATATGAAGTACCAGATCCTCTCCCGGGCCTTCTACGGCTGTGAGTACTTGTCACATCCACGATGCCTTGAGATGTGTGATGGGCAAGGGATAAATAAGGTCCTGGGCTCTGGGCTAGCAGTGGTGCTGAGGCAGCAGGGCAGTGGCTGCTCTGATGGTGGGCCATCCAACGGCTGCAGCCACGAAAGGTACGACAGCTCTGCTGCTGCTGGCTTTGAGAAATACAGGTGAAATAAAACAGGGGTTACAGGCAAAAGCCCAGCTGGGTGGCTGAACCAGAGCTAGGTTGTCCAGGGACCATTTGCAGATGCCGGTGGGACATGTCCATGCTGAAGTGAGGCTTGTCCCACTCATCTGGGACATCTCAGCTGCTCTGTGGTCCTGTCCTGGCAGCAAGAGTTATCCAGGGACCATTTGCAGGTGCCAGTGGGACATGTCTATGCTGAAGTGAGGCTTGTTCCACTCATCTGGGACATCTCAGCAGCAAGAATTGCTGCTCCCAAGCTGAGCAGAGCTCTGGTGGTGCACCTCTGAAGGCAAAGCTGGAATGGTCACATCAAAGCAGGGGCTGAGGGCACACATGGGAGCATTTTGTCTCCTCACATCCAATATTTTTTTGTTGGCAGAGCTCCACTGAAGCTCCTGTGTGACAATATGAAGTACCAGATCCTCTCCCGGGCCTTCTACGGCTGTGAGTACTTGTCACATCCACAATGCCTCGAGATGTGTGATGGGCAAGGGACAAATAAGGTCCTGGGCTCTGGGCTAGTAGTGGTGCTGAGGCAGCAGGGCAGTGGCCAAGGCTACTGGGACCAGTTTGTTGCATGCAGGGCCCTATGTAGATGCGCTCAGGATTGGGAGCAAATGTTTGAACTTTCATCCCTGGACTTGAGCAGCAGTGCTGGTGGTACTAGAGGATGAGATATGACCTGTCCCAATAGACTCCCTGCCTTGCTGCTGAGTGTGGCTTCAGAGGATCTCGTTCAGGGACCAGATTCGTGTGACAATATGAAGTACCAGATCCTCTCCCGGGCCTTCTACGGCTGTGAGTACTTGTCACATCCACAATGCCTCGAGATGTGTGATGGGCAAGGGACAAATAAGGTCCTGGGCTCTGGGCTAGTAGTGGTGCTGAGGCAGCAGGGCAGTGGCCAAGGCTACTGGGACCAGTTTGTTGCATGCAGGGCCCTATGTAGATGCGCTCAGGATTGGGAGCAAATGTTTGAACTTTCATCCCTGGACTTGAGCAGCAGTGCTGGTGGTACAAGAGGATGAGATATGACCTGTCCCAATAGACTCCCTGCCTTGCTGCTGAGTGTGGCTTCAGAGGATCTCGTTCAGGGACCAGATTCATCAGAGCTTTCTCCTGTGCTTCATCCTCATGGCTCCCCAAGTTGCCCAGCTGAATGTTTGCTTCTGCCTGATGCAGGGCTGGCCTATTGCAGACACCTCTCCACGGTGCGAACCCACCTCTCGGCCCTGGTTAACCACAACATCGTGTCTCCAGATGTGCCCTGCAGCGCCAGCTCGGGACTGACTGTGGACATATGGCAGAGATACCTGCAGGACAGCACGGTAGGGCCGCTGGTGTTGGGACGTGCCAGTTGTGGTGGGCTTGTGACGTCCAGGGCAGTGCCACTTAAGCAGTTCTAGCATGGTAAGGTAAAGCACATGGAGAAGTTCCCTGAGAAGTCAGAGAGCTTGTCCCAGGCTGCACAGAGCCCAGGGGAATCCTAATCCTTGATACGTGGAAGCCAGGGAATGAAGGTTGCTCTCCTTAACCTCTTCTATTCAGAGCCTGTGTCTTTCACCCTGAGTGCTGTGGTCTGGAGGGGGGTCCAGGCACACCGTTACGGTGGGATAGCTGTGGCCAGTGCCACAGTCCTGTCATCCTGACAGTGCTCAGAGGCAGAGCAGTGGCCTTGGGTGACTTTGGTGGGCCACTTTCTGGCTGTGGTGAGCCTGTATTTCCCAAAATGTCCACCCGCAGTGGCCTCTGACTCTACTTAAGCCCGAGCAGAGACCTGAGAGATCATCTGCAGTGGATGGGCAGTGAGTTTGTAGGTGGTCAGTGTCTGGGCAGCACTTTGGATCCTCAAAGGTGGCATGGCCAGGCTGGGGTTGCCCTTGCTGATGGTCTCTGGCCCTGGCTGCATCTGTGCACTGACTTGAAGCTCTTCCTACAGACTTATGAGGACCAGGAGCTGCTGCGGCTGATCTACTATGGTGGGATCCAGCACGAGATCAGGAAGGCTGTCTGGCCCTTCCTTTTGGGCCATTATCAGTTTGGGATGACGGAGGCGGAAAGGAAAGAGGTTGGTGTGGGTGTGCTGCCAGCACAGCAGCCTGGGGCATCGCACTGGTGTGCCCTGGGTATTTCACCCCTTGAAGTGTCTATGCCAGAGTCCATCCTGGCGCTCAGCAGTTTAAGATTATCTTGCTGAAGGCACTGTAGTTAATTAGCAGATGGTTCTTACTCTCATCAATGTTCTTTGTTTCCTTTCCTTTCTCTTGAGCTCACCATTGATGGTGCTGCGATTACCTGGTGTGCATCCTACCTGGTTGCTGGAGGCTCCTTGGGAAGAGTGTGGGATTCTGTGTTGTCTAATCAAAGCTCTCCTCTCTGACCTCCTGTGGCTCACCTGATGCTGGGGCCGTGCCAGACCGAGCTGATGCTCCCCTCTCTGTCTTCTTACAGTGCCCCAGGACCTGATGGACACATCGGGTGCAGGCCTGCCCCCCATGTGGCAGCCCAGCACCCGCAAGTCCTCCTGCTCCTCCTGCTCTCAGAGTGGCTCCTCTGATGGTGGGCCATCCAACGGCTGCAGCCACGAAAGGTACGACAGCTCTGCTGCTGCTGGCTTTGAGAAATACAGGTGAAATAAAACAGGGGTTACAGGCAAAAGCCCAGCTGGGTGGCTGAACCAGAGCTAGGTTGTCCAGGGACCATTTGCAGATGCCGGTGGGACATGTCCATGCTGAAGTGAGGCTTGTCCCACTCATCTGGGACATCTCAGCTGCTCTGTGGTCCTGTCCTGGCAGCAAGAGTTGCTGCTCCCAAGCTGAGCAGAGCTCTGGTGGTGCACCTCTGAAGGTAAAGCTGGAATGGTCACATCAAAGCAGGGGCTGAGGGCACACACGGGAGCATTCCCTCTCCTCACGTCCAATATTTTTTTGTTGGCAGAGCTCCCCTGAAGCTCCTGTGTGACAATATGAAGTACCAGATCCTCTCCCGGGCCTTCTACGGCTGTGAGTACTTGTCACATCCACAATGCCTCGAGATGTGTGATGGGCAAGGGACAAATAAGGTCCTGGGCTCTGGGCTAGTAGTGGTGCTGAGGCAGCAGGGCAGTGGCCAAGGCTACTGGGACCAGTTTGTTGCATGCAGGGCCCTATGTAGATGCGCTCAGGATTGGGAGCAAATGTTTGAACTTTCATCCCTGGACTTGAGCAGCAGTGCTGGTGGTACTAGAGGATGAGATATGACCTGTCCCAATAGACTCCCTGCTTTGCTGCTGAGTGTGGCTTCAGAGGATCTCGTTCAGGGACCAGATTCATCAGAGCTTTCTCCTGTGCTTCATCCTCGTGGCTCCCTAAGTTCCCCAGCTGAATATTTGCTTCTGCCTGATGCAGGGCTGGCCTATTGCAGACACCTCTCCACGGTGCGAACCCACCTCTCGGCCCTGGTTAACCACAACATCGTGTCTCCAGATGTGCCCTGCAGCGCCAGCTCGGGACTGACTGTGGACATATGGCAGAGATACCTGCAGGACAGCACGGTAGGGCCGCTGGTGTTGGGACGTGCCAGTTGTGGTGGGCTTGTGACGTCCAGGGCAGTGCCACTTAAGCAGTTCTAGCATGGTAAGGTAAAGCACATGGAGAAGTTCCCTGAGAAGTCAGAGAGCTTGTCCCAGGCTGCACAGAGCCCAGGGGAATCCTAATCCTTGATACGTGGAAGCCAGGGACTGAAGGTTGCTCTCCTTAACCTCTTCTATTCAGAGCCTGTGTCTTTCACCCTGAGTGCTGTGGTCTGGAGGGGGGTCCAGGCACACCGTTACGGTGGGATAGCTGTGGCCAGTGCCACAGTCCTGTCATCCTGACAGTGCTCAGAGGCAGAGCAGTGGCCTTGGGTGACTTTGGTGGGCCACTTTCTGGCTGTGGTGAGCCCGTATTTCCCAAAATGTCCACCCGCAGTGGCCTCTGACTCTACTTAAGCCCGAGCAGAGACCTGAGAGATCATCTGCAGTGGATGGGCAGTGAGTTTGTAGGTGGTCAGTGTCTGGGCAGCACTTTGGATCCTCAAAGGTGGCATGGCCAGGCTGGGGTTGCCCTTGCTGATGGTCTCTGGCCCTGGCTGCATCTGTGCACTGACTTGAAGCTCTTCCTACAGACTTATGAGGACCAGGAGCTGCTGCGGCTGATCTACTATGGTGGGATCCAGCACGAGATCAGGAAGGCTGTCTGGCCCTTCCTTTTGGGCCATTATCAGTTTGGGATGACGGAGGCGGAAAGGAAAGAGGTTGGTGTGGGTGTGCTGCCAGCACAGCAGCCTGGGGCATCGCACTGGTGGGCCCTGGGTATTTCACCCCTTGAAGTGTCTATGCCAGAGTCCATCCTGTGCACCCACCGGGTGTTGTGTCCCCTTTGTGCTGTGGCTGTAGACAGGAGGTGGGAGGAAGACTCGGATAAGCAGGAATTGATAGGACCAAGCTGCTGGTTGTTCCTGTTTGGTGCCCTGTGCACCTCTGGAAGGCAGGAGGGAGATGGATGGTCATTTTTCTATCCCAATTTTTGAGAGGTTTTGTTGATCAGTCTCTGGTGCCCGAGCAGAGACCTGAGAGATCATCTGCAGTGGATGGGCAGTGAGTTTGTAGGTGGTCAGTGTCTGGGCAGCACTTTGGATCCTCAAAGGTGGCATGGCCAGGCTGGGGTTGCCCTTGCTGATGGTCTCTGGCCCTGGCTGCATCTGTGCACTGACTTGAAGCTCTTCCTACAGACTTATGAGGACCAGGAGCTGCTGCGGCTGATCTACTATGGTGGGATCCAGCACGAGATCAGGAAGGCTGTCTGGCCCTTCCTTTTGGGCCATTATCAGTTTGGGATGACGGAGGCGGAAAGGAAAGAGGTTGGTGTGGGTGTGCTGCCAGCACAGCAGCCTGGGGCATCGCACTGGTGTGCCCTGGGTATTTCACCCCTTGAAGTGTCTATGCCAGAGTCCACCCTGTGCACCCACCGGGTGTTGTGTCCCCTTCGTACCGCGGCTGTAGACAGGAGGTGGGAGGAAGACTCAGATAAGCAGGAATTGATAGGACCAAGCTGCTGGTTGCTCCCGTTCGGTGCCCTGTGCACCTCTGGAAGGCAGGAGGGAGATGGATGGTCATTTTTCTATCCCAATTCTTGAGAGGTTTTGTGGGTCAGTCTCTGGCTGTCACTGTGCTGGAGATGGGTGACTTTGTCTCGTCTGGCCATAGTTAACACAAACATACACTTAACTTGTCTGTGCAGGGCTGTTTGGGGGATGGAGGAGGCACCTATTTTTGGGCTGTTCTAGGGGCATCCATTCAAAGACTCTGTCTGTCTCCAAATGCTCAGGCTGATGACCAGATCCGTACCTGCTACGAGCACACCATGGCCGAGTGGCTGGGCTGCGAGGCCATCGTCCGCCAGCGGGAGAAGGAGTCACACGCAGCAGCTCTGGCCAAGTGCTCCTCAGGGGCCAGCCTGGATTCCCACATCCAGAGGATGATGCACAGGGATTCCACCATCAGCAACGAGGTGAGGGTGGGAGGGCTGGGACCACCCAGGCTCCCTGTTGGCTTGTGCTACAGGGAGGGATGGAGATAGGGTTCTTGTTCACCCTCCTGCCCTGACCTCTGCCTGCCTCTGCGCTTCGTTACTCACTGTAATCTGGGAAAGTCAGGATTGGAGCTTTCTTACCTGTTTTTCAAGAGTGTTTAGTGGGAGGAGCGGGTGTCTCCTGCACTATCTCATTCAGTATGACCCCAGTTTCCATCCTGCACTGACTGAGAGGTTTTGGTCTGCAGCCTGAGTGATCAATTGAAGTTTTAACAAATTTGCTTTGATTCTTGTAGCCACAGCGGCACTGAACACCTCTGCATCCGTGACCCTGGGTGAGGGTGCTGGGCACAGAAGGCCTGAATGCCAGGGAGAGGATGGGGGGTCCTGGCATAGGGTGGAGGGGGGCAGCCAGACCCCAGAGCTGTGTGTCCAAATCCAGACACTCTCACCAGTCCTGTGAAACATTCCTTGTGGGTACTTTTGGAGAGCAGCAGATATTCGTTACCTGATTTCCACCTTTGGGGCACATCAGGATTAGCTCCCTGGAAGTCAGTGTAGAAACAGGAGGAGGGAGGAAGACTCTTTTTGGCACTGAGGGGTTGTGAAGCAGGTCAGTGGGCTTCCTGGCTCCCTCTTTCATCAGCTGCTCAGCACAGAAGCAGCTTGGGCTGCTGCCTGGGGGCAGGAGGAGTGGGGTGGCTCTAGGACAGGCTGTGAAGGAGCTGGTGGGGCTCAGGGCAGCCTCAGTACACCGTGTCCCAGCATCCAGCTCCATGGGACTGCCTTTTAGCAGTGCGGTGAGGAGTTAGATCCAAAGCCCAAACCAAAGGGTGTGGAGGGAAAAGCCTGTTTGAGGAAAGGCAGTCCTGGGAACAGAGTCCGGGGGAGTGTTTCTGTGTGGGATTTTTTTCCTGGAGGAGAAGAGCCCGGCGCAGCAGAGCGAGTGGTGCTGGGTTCACCGGTGGTGGATGGAGGCCAAGCTGAAAAGGGCCTGGTAGGTGCTTCCCTGGAGACATTGTCTGGTTTCCTCTGGGGATGTTTTTGGAAAGAGATGAGCTCAGCCCCAGCCGTGCAGGCTCCGTGAGAGGGAGAGATGAGGGAAGGCAAGTCTGAAGTGGGGTCCTGGTGACACAGGAGCAGAGGGGGCTGCACCATCAGAGCCCCATGAATCGTTCCCATCCCCACAGCATCTGCACCGTGGTGGTTCTTTTGTGTCCCCTTCTGGGAACGTGGGCTGGGAGGGGAGCTGGAGGAGTGAATACAAGCAAATTTCACCCTTTTCCCATCCCAACCTGAGATTTCCTGTTATAAAATGCTCCCATGGTAATGGAGGAAAACTGTCGCCCTTCCTCTCCCCATCGGAGCCCTGCCCAGGGAACACCCCACAATACGAGGGTGGGGACAACTCCTGCTGCCGTTCCCAAAATGCCGTGATTTCTTAAAACCCTATTGTTTGTGTGTGATATCATTGCAATGCTCTGTGCATCCCAGCTCCCTGCAGCTGGAGCAGCTGCAGGCTCCAGCGCTGCTCCGAGCCTGGTCTGGGGGTGGCTCAGATAACGGGGAGGACTCTCTCTTAGACAAAGCCTCAATTGCTCAGAGGGATCCCACCAGGCAGAGCCCTGAGCTCTGGTAGATCCAAAGCCCGAGGCTTCCTTCTGTGCTTCAGCTGGAAGCCAGAAAAGGGTGCTGTTGACTTTTGGAGGGGCTGCCTCAGCCGAGGCTGGCTGAAAACATCAATATTTGTCCTGTAAGAAAAGGAAGAAGCATTAATATGCTCGGAGGGATTGTTTTATAGCCTGTGACTTCATCGTTTATGTAAACTAAGATGGGGTGAGCCACATTGCTGCCAAATTAGGACAGAGATTTGTAGAAATTTGCACTCCAGGGAGACAGCGTGACCTCTCTGGAGGCCAGAAGAAAGCAGTTCCTTTCAGCCCCAAACACACAGTGTTTGAACAAACGGATTGGCTCGGGACTTTTGTTTTTTGTCATCTTCTCCAGCAGTAAATGTCAGGGGCGGGCTGAGGCAGGGTCTGTGCTGTGTGACAAATCCGCCGGGCAGAGCTGATGTCGTGTGAAGGTCTTTCATGGGTCAAATAGGAGAATTTATTGGATGCGTTTCCTGCGTGTTCCTTACATGCAGATGTGTCCACCTCTGGTAGTGTGGCTTGAGCCTCCCCCTGTGACTCCAGACATCACGCTTTTTGCCTTTTCACTGGCCTTTTCCCTCTCTCTTGCAGTCTTCTCAGAGCTGCAGCTCTGGCCGCCAGAATCACGCCCGGCTGCAGAGCGACTCCAGCTCCAGCACACAGGTGGGTGGCAGTGCCTTGTCCCCTCTTGCTCATTCAGACCCTGGCCAACTCCAGCTCCAGCACACAGGTGGGTGGCAGCACCTTGTCCCCTCTTGCTCATTCAGACCCCCTGACAGCTCTGCCTGGGCTTGGGCTGATCACTAGTCAATAACCATCATGATTTCTGACAAACGGAAGGGGTAGTTGGAGGTAAATAACTCACAAACCTGCCTCTGGAGCCACTAAGGTCAGAACTTCCCACTGCTTGGTGGTGCTTGGCTCTGCCCGGGCTTGAAGGACCAACCCCCATGGTGGCCTTCACACTTGAGGGCCCTTGGCTGTTCCGTATGTTCGTAACCATGTGTTTAACCAACCTGTTTAAATGACGTTCTGCCTGACATATTACGCTGAATAAAGCGGAGCCCTTTGGAGCAGGGACTGTGGGCTCCGAGTTGTGCAAATGACCGAGCACTGACCTGCCCAAATCCAGGCAGGGAGGAACCTAAGGGCTGAAAGCTGTGCCCAGAAATTCCTCCCGAGAGTCTGGTTAAACTGGGACAGAGAGCTAGATGCCCAGGCTGAAGTTGTCTTCTCATTATAGCAAAGGTGTGGAGCCACAACCATGCCCTTAAGTCCTCCAGGCTTTCTTCCACTGGTTCCTTTAGTGAGCTGTGCACATCTAGAGATCTTCCTCCCTCCCCACCGTTGGGAACACGGGCATTATGTCCCCAAGAGCTGCATTCAGCAGTAAAACTGCTGAATGCAGCTCTTGGGGACATAATGCCCGCGTTCCCAACGGTTTGCTCACTCTCACATGTCCTTCTCCTCGTGCTCTGCAGGTGTTTGAATCCGTTGACGAAGTGGAACAGACTGAAGGAGATGCTCAGCTGGAAGATGGCAAACCAAGCAAGATCCCTAACGGGACGGTTCCCAACGGCACGTGTTCCCCTGATTCTGGCCACCCTTCTTCCCAGAACTTCTCCATCGCCTCGGGATTCTCCGAGCGCAGCTTCAGCAACGAGGACAGTGCCCTGGAAACCAACAAATCCTCAGCCAGCTCTCAGGGAAAGGCTGGTGGGTCCGATGTGCCAGCCCCACAGGATGGTGCCCAACAGGAGGAGAAGCTGGAGGGGCAAGACAGCCTGGAAGGGGAATTTCCCACCAATGGAAGTGTGGACTTTGTTCCTGTGGGTGAGAGCTCGGCAGGGGTCCTGCGTGACCGTGACGCGGTGGCCCTGACCGTGGTTGAGAGCTGGGCAGACAGTGAAGCTGAAAAGCAAAGCTTGGTGGAGAGTGAAGGGAACCTCTCTGAGGAGCCAGAGATGGAGAGCTTGTACCCACAGCTGGATTCTCTGGCTGTAGCTGATCTGGCCAACGGTGAAGCATCTACTGTCTCCTCCACGGGTGTCACCTACTCTGTAAGTATGGACTTCTTTGCTGAGTGGGTCATTATGTCCCCAAGAGCTGCATTCAGCAGTAAAACTGCTGAATGCAGCTCTTGGGGACATAATGCCCGCGTTCCCAACGGTTTGCTCACTCTCACATGTCCTTCTCCTCGTGCTCTGCAGGTGTTTGAATCCGTTGACGAAGTGGAACAGACTGAAGGAGATGCTCAGCTGGAAGATGGCAAACCAAGCAAGATCCCTAATGGGACGGTTCCCAACGGCACGTGTTCCCCTGATTCTGGCCACCCTTCTTCCCAGAACTTCTCCATCGCCTCGGGATTCTCCGAGCGCAGCTTCAGCAACGAGGACAGTGCCCTGGAAACCAACAAATCCTCGGCCAGCTCTCAGGGAAAGGCTGGTGGGTCCGATGTGCCAGCCCCACAGGATGGTGCCCAACAGGAGGAGAAGCTGGAGGGGCAAGACAGCCTGGAAGGGGAATTTCCCACCAATGGAAGTGTGGACTTTGTTCCTGTGGGTGAGAGCTCGGCAGGGGTCCTGCGTGACCGTGACGCGGTGGCCCTGACCGTGGTTGAGAGCTGGGCAGACAGTGAAGCTGAAAAGCAAAGCTTGGTGGAGAGTGAAGGGAACCTCTCTGAGGAGCCAGAGATGGAGAGCTTGTACCCACAGCTGGATTCTCTGGCTGTAGCTGATCTGGCCAACGGTGAAGCATCTACTGTCTCCTCCACGGGTGTCACCTACTCTGTAAGTATGGACTTCTTTGCTGAGTGGGTTCCTCCTGGGGGCTTCACTACTTACCTGTGTTTGTGCTGTGCTAATCCTGCAGCTGTGTGTACACAGAATCATAGAATCATCTGGGTTGGAAGGGACCTTTCAGATCATGGAGTCTGACCATCAACCTAATACTGACAAAAACCATCACTAAACATCACTCTAAGCTCTATGTCAACCCATCTTTTAAATACCATCAGGGGTGGTGCCTCAGCCACTTCCCTGGGCAGCCCATTCCAAGGCTTAATAACACTTTCAGTGTAAACATTTTTCCCAATATCCAATCTGAACCTCCCATGGTGCAACTTGAGGCCGTTTCCTCTTGTCCTGTGGCTCGGAAGAAGAGACCAATCCTCATCTTTCTACACCTCCCTTTCATGGAGTTGTAGAGAGCAAGAAGGTCTCCCCTCAGCCTCCTTTTCTCCAGGCTGAACACCCCCAGCTCCCTCAGCCTCTCCTCCTAAGACTTGTTCTCCAAGGGCTACAGGGGCTCTCCACCTTCCACCTAAACTCTGCCCTGTCACTCCATTGCCCTTGCAACTTTCTTTTTGGTTTTTATTTGAAAACAAAACAACTTTGCTTTTGTTTTGGGCAGCCAGAGCTACTGGACATGTACACGGTGAACCTGCACCGCATTGAGAAGGACGTGCAGCGGTGTGACCGCAACTACTGGTACTTCACCCCTGCCAACCTGGAGAAACTCCGCAACATCATGTGCAGGTGGGAGCCATGGGGGTGAGGGTGGGGGCCGTCCCTGCCACGGGAGCAGGCTCCTGACACTGGTGGTTGGTTTTCCTGAATTTACCTTGAGGCTGGAACCTCAAACTTTGCTCTGGTTACTGAGTTTCACCTCCTTGACTTCCTCCCCCAAGTCCCATCATCATCGTGGCCAGCAGGGCGAGGGAGGGGATTCAGTCCCTCTGCTCTGGTGAGACCCCACTTTGGGGGGGTTCTGTGTCCAGCTTTGGAGTCCTCAGCATAAGAAGGATATGGACCTGTTGGAGAAGGTCTGGAGGAGGCCATGGAGATGATGAGAGGGCTGGAGCTCCTCTGCTGTGAGGACAGGCTGAGAGTTGGAGTGTGCAGCCTGGAGAAGAGAAGGCTCTGGGGAGACCCTAAAGCCTCTTGCAGTCCCTAAAGGGGCTACAGGAGAGATGGGGACTCTGGATCAGGGAAGGGAGCGACAGGACGAGGGGTAATGGTTTTAAACTGAAAGAGTGGGGGTTTAGATGAGATATTAGGAAGAAACTCTTTGCTGTGAGGGTGGTGAGAGCCTGGCCCAGGTCGCCCAAAGAAGCTGTGGCTGCCCCATCCCTGGAGGGGTTCAAGGCCAGGTTGGAGGGGGCTTGGAGCAACCTGGTCTGGTGGGAGGTGTCCCTGCCCAGGGCAGGGGGGTTGGAACTGGATGATCTTTAAGGTCCCTTCCAACCCAAACCGTTCTATGATCCCAGAGCTGTGGGGCTACAGTCAGGGGTCCAGCCATCCTGCCTTGTGCTGCTCTGCCCCGTGACTACCTTGTGTCTGAGTCATTGGCCAAAGCAAAGGGTTCCCTGGGGCTGCCCAGTCAAGCTGCCTCGTGGTCTGAACCCAGCACAGCCCACCTGCTCCCTGGCTAATGTCTGGAAAATAATTTAATGAGGATGAGCCCGCGGAGCTGTGGTGCTAATGAGGAAGTGCCTGAAGCGACCTGGTGGTTAGTGCCTACCCAGGAGACAGCGATACCTGGGCGCGTTTCTCATTCTCTTTGCTTGGTCCCTGTGACTAAGAGGTTGCTGTGTGACATTCCCCACCTCAAATCAGCTCCAGCTCAGCAGCTGGTGGCTGCTTCAGGGGCAGCGAAGACTAAAAAATATTATTACTCATCTTGCAAATATGAGGAGAAGCTGCTATTTCATTAGAGCCATCGCTTTATCTGACAGCCAGAGTCGGAGATATCTGCGGAGATGAGACCTCTGATACAGCAGATCTTTTTTTTTTTTTTTTTAAAACTAGTGGGGTTGGGTAGAAAAGATTGTTCCCTTTTGTGCCAGCAGTGGATCCGTGTCCTTTCCGACCACAATTTTGACTTGTTACCTAATATGGGAAGATATCTCTGCAGGCTTGGGTGCTTCCTGGGATGCCGGGTTCAGGGAGGCGAAGCAGGGGGGATGGTATTGGGCAGAGAGAGCCCTTTTTTTTTTATTTTTCCATGCAAAAAACCATGGCACAGCCCTGGATCGACACCCTGCGATGGCCGTGGCCATCGCAGGGTGGCGATCCAGGGCTGTGCCATGTGGGGT